GAGGAGGGTACACATGGAGAGAGTTTTCGGCTGCTGTTTGTATTCCGAGAAAACCCTTACTTTAAACCCTTAATATTAAAGAAAGAATATATTTTATTTTATGGGGAGGGGGGGAGAGGAGCTGAGCTGGCGAGGACCGAAGGGACGAAGATAGAATGGAGAGAAGATAAAGATATAACAAAAAAAACAATAATAAGGAGACAAAGAANGAAGGGACGAAGATAGAATGGAGAGAAGATAAAGATATAACAAAAAAAACAATAATAAGGAGACAAAGAAATAAAAAAACAAAACAAACCAGAACCGTCACGGAGACTGTTGATGCTAATTCTTTTTTTAATTTATTCGCTGATCATGAAATTCCTTCGGAAGATAAATTACAACAAATGGATGAAAAAGAAGTAAACCCTAAACCCTAAAAAACCCTAAACCCTTAAAATCCTAAACCCTTGAAACACTTTTAACTCTAAACCCTTATTACTATAAACCCTTGCTAAACTGAAATACCATCCGATGATAAATTACAACAAATGGATGAAAAAGAAGGAAACCCTAAGCCCTAAACCCTAGAAAACCCTAGAAAACCCTAAACCCTAGAAAACCCTAGAAAACCCTAAACCCTTGAAACACTTTTAACTCTAAACCCTCATAGCTGTACCCTAAACCCTTACTAAAGTGAAATACCATCGGAATATAAATTACAACAAATGGAAGAAAAAGAAGTAAACCCTAAACCCTCAAAACCCTAAACCCTAGAAAACCCTAAACCCTTAAAATCCTAAACCCTTGAAACCCTAAACCCTTAGAACCCTTAAAACCCTCATACTAAAATGAAATTCCGTCGGATGATAAATTGCAGCAAATGGATGAAAAAGAAGTAATATATAACACAAACTAGGGTTTACTAGGGTTTAGGGTTTAGGGTTTAGGGTTTGGGGTGTATGCGCAGGTGGAAGAGCTGCAGATGGTTGTGGAGGCGGACTATGATATCGGCATAACAATTAGGGTTAGCCACAAACCCTAAACCCTAAACCCTAGAAGACAGTACTAATACTTAAACCCTAAACCCTCATCCGCAAACCCTAAACCCTAAACCCTAAACCACTGTTTCTGTTCAGGATAAGATAATTCCGAGAGCTGTTGATTGGTATCTAGGGCAGGTTGACGATGACTCAGACTTCGATGACTATGATGCTAACGATGAAGACTTGTGAGGGTTTAGGGTTTGTGAGGGTTTAGGGTTTGTGAGGGTTTAGGGTTTGTGAGGGTTTAGGGTTTGTGGGGGCAGCGATAGAGAAGAAAGCCTGGCGAGGATAATTTTAGGGTTTAGGGTTTACGAGTGCAGCAACAGCACCAAAAAAAGCCGATGAGCAAGGGTTTAGGGTTTAGAGTTTAGGGTTTGTACAGGGGGGGGGGAAAATCTAGGGTTTAGGGTTTAGGGTTTAGGGTTTAGGGTTTGTGGTTGCAGCGATGGCAGCGAGGATAGCGACGAAGAAGAAGACTCATCAGATGACGAACCGCCCCGCTCACACAAAGGTGCGGAGAAGGTATCGAGACACCTGAGGGTTTAGGGTTTAGGGTTTAGGGTTTAGGGTTT